CCAGAGCAGCTTTGCCGTACACTGTACATTCTCAACGTAAGTATTCACATTGCCCTTCAAACCCCCCAATTCCTTCTTAGATGTGACCTTCCAAGGAGGCCACCACACATCTGTGGCTAATTCACACATAGAACAGCATGAAGCCAGAAAACCTCTAGAAAAGGAAGGCGTTTGCATTTTTGCCTAATTTAACCCAATGGCCAAGTCAATTGTCTTCAAAGTTGAATTGTCCAGAAAGTCCCAAAGTTCAATAGAGTAAGCAAAGAAAGGACCTTACATATTTACAAATGTATTTCAGAAACAGAATATATTAATGAACAGTTATGCAAACTTATGGTTACTGGGGGTAAGGGGGGGATAAACTGGGAGATTGGGATGGACATATACACACTACTATATATAAAATAGATAACTAATAAGGACCTGCTGTATAGCACGGGGAATTCTACTCAATACTCTGCAATGGCCTATATGGGAAAAGAATTTTAAAAAGAGTGGCTATATGTATATATATCACTGACTCACTTTGCTGTACACCAGAAACTAACACAACATTGTAAATCGACTATACTCCAATGAACATTAAAAAAAATAAAGTTATAACTGGAGAAATCACACAAAAAAGAAACAGTTATGTGTTAAAAAAGGCAGTGGTGGACATGAACATTTCTGTCATCTGGACAGCAAATTGCTATGCTCTTCCTCATGGAATTTTCTTTCCTGTCAGTGGGCAGATACAATATATACTCATAAGGAGATTTAAATACATACACTTATTTTATACACACATATGTGAGTCTATCTAGTATTTAAAGATGTATTCTTTTTAGTGGGCTGTAGTATGAAAATAAGTGTAACTTACTATGCATTAAATAACCATTGAATCTATATTTCTCAAATTATAAGACTCTGAAAAGGTACTTACTATATACCATGTAAAAAATCTGCTATTAGAAAAATCTATGACCCCTGAATAATAACTTTCTCAACTTTAGGATAACGAGGGAACTTTAAGCTCATAATTACACCTTAGACCATTACATGCATTTTGAAAATAAAATTCTTCATGCAAAAGACCAGCCTATGATAGGTCAACTGGACAAAATATAATTCTGATTATTTAGTGACGCATTTAATGTAATCTGAAATGAGTTACTCAGATAGCAATTCCTGTCCTTCAAATGAGCTGAGAGTGATAAAAAGAACATGAGCTCTGAAGTAGGAAAAACCACCGGCAGAGTTTGACCATACATCTGTCACTTGCTGAAAATCGTCTTATCTTTCTGAGCCTCAGTTTCTAATTAGCACAATGAGAGTGAAGTAATTTCTACCCTGCCCTGTCTTACACAATCACTGTGAAGATCAAACACAGTGTGTACATTACTGTACTGACTGGAAATGTACATTATTAGTAATATTTTGGTTGACGTGTAACTACAACGCCAGAGGACTCTTGGAATTAGAATAAACACCTAATTTGCAAGTTATCAATAACAGTCCTTCTGTAATCGGTGGGCTCCTATGTAATAATTTGGTGGTTTATAAGTATTTGTTTTCTCTGTAACAAAACCTCTCAATAAACTTCACATTCCAGCTTATAACAGAGGTGGAGGATGGTAGAAGTAGTCTGGGACTTTATAGCGACTGGGGAGGCTGAGGGCAGCTTAAGCTTCGTCCGTGCGACTCCATCTGGCTGCCCCGGTTTCCCCGGGTGGCCATCAGCTGCGGTGACGGGCCCTATGAGCCGCCCCTCGGCGCCCGAGATGCCTCCGCGCGCCGAGTCCTGCCTGCCTCGCTTCTTTCTCACTCTGTTAACTGTCAGTCACCGTCTGTGCCTCAGTTTACTAAGAAAGAGGCACAGTCCCCCTCGGAGAGGATCTGCTGCTGGCTCAGCACCGCAACAGCCGCCAAGAGTGTCAACAAGGGACACGCAAGACCGACTTCGAGATGCTGACCCAGAACTCTGGTCACCAGACACAGAAAGTACCTTCCCCAGTTTTTCAGAAAGAGTTTCTGCCAGTACAAGGAGGGGACAAAGACATGCAATGTGGGGTTTCTCATGTTACAGACACGGCTATGGGGGCAGGTACTCACACAGACTGATAGTGGGATTGGCACCGAACGTAGCCATCAGGTAAAATAAAATGCATTTGGGAGGACATGCACATGGGACATGGATGGACACAGGCCTTTCGAAGCCTGATTGTCGTAAGTCACACACAGCTAGGAGTTTGATCATGTAAAATGAGCACTTTATCAGCAGAGCTGTGCCTCCTTGATCTAGAACCTTCCTGAAGATTCCTGACCCTGGGGGTTATGAAATAACCCACTGGATAATCCACCTGGCATATCTTTGTGTGATATTGGCTACATGGGGTCTTGGAACACCTGTCCGTGGGCTCCTCCAGGGGAGATTTCTCCCTGTAACAGAAAAACTTGGTGAAACCCTCTCCGGGAATCAGGCCTCGGAAGTGGTTTCTGCTTAGGAGGGATGCTTTTGTTTGACTTGGAAATCAAGCAAGGCTTTGGGCCTTCCTGCACAGAACCTAGAGCAATCAGAGCCACAGTTCAGGGTCCATCACATGGGCTACCTTTGATCCAACGACTCCTTGGGACTTAGGACTTGATGAGAGGCTGTCTAAGAGGGAGTAGCTTATTACACCTTGCTGTCAAAGTATTTGGTAAAATGGACATATCTGTCTTACAGCAGAAGAGGTAGCCTGATGATCCATAAATGGCCACCACGGCTGAACCTCTCTTTAGTGGTTTTAGTTGATTCCTTTAAAGTTCACAGAATAGATGATTCTAGAAGGTGCTTAGCTGGAGAATCCAGAGCTGAATATGAATTCTGCCACCAGGGACCAAGAGTTGATCATTCATCCTCCTACTGGGCATTTTCTTTCTGGAACCAACTTCCTTACATGCCTCCGACTTGGGCTTCATGTTTGCAGGACACTGAGTGCTGGTCACCAGGCAGGGTGGGTCACATAGTCAGACATTCTGGGGCCGATGTAATAATGATGCAATTGTTTCATGGCTCTATCACGCCCCCTTGATTATGCCCACTTGCATGAATTTTCCTAGAAAAATGTCTTTACCTTTGGTTTGCTTTCTCACTTTTTAAAACAACTCCAAGCGTTGAAGTCAGAGTGGATGAAGCCAGTGCAGTCACGTGCTAAAGCTGTTTCGATAAGCCTGTGATCGCTTTTCCAAAATACGTCATTTTGCACTTTTAAAAGTAGATTATTTAAAATATGGCCCTAAGTAAATTAAAATGGAAAGTTTAATTCTAGCAAACGGAGAGCAGAGCCTAGACTCTGGTTAAGGCACTTGGTTAAATGACGCTTACGTGCAAATATTTCCGACCCTAATTCACCACACCCACAAACGTCCATAACTTCAAATATTAGTGTCTGCCGCTTTCTAAACATAGAACGAGAATATGAAGGAGCAGTATTTTATGCTATCTTCATAAGAGGCCATGTTTAAGGCACAAATCATGAGTCAGCCTCAACAACGAACGATTCCACCCAGAGCTACGCACATGTAATACAGGGTCCAGAAACAATTTGCCAAACTGGTCGATTCTCCAACTTTCCACATATTTTATTACCCAGAGCTGCTGTTTTTAATACTCAGCATGAAAGAGCCATCATCTCATTAATGACACCACGGTCTGCTTAGCAGAGCGAACGGTGTGTGTCTGTGGGTGTGTGCTAATGCTACTCCTTAGGCTGTCTCCGCGCCACTATCTATAATAACAAGACGAGAAAAGTAACCTGGGGAGACCAGGTTTTAATGCATGAAGTTTATGCGTGTGTGTGTGTGCGCGTGTGTATGCATTTATATACAGATACGTTTGTATTATCCATGTAAGTTAAGCAGTCAGTTGTTTTCATAAGGACCCTAGACTACAGTAACCATCGAGGATTCTTTCATAAAAGCCAGGTTTCCTGGAACAAACTAGTGTAACCCCTGAAGGAGGAAAGTTGATTCATGCCCACTCCACGGGATTAGCAACAAGCAATTCACACCTGCCTGATCTAAAAACTCTCTCTCCATCGGCTGAAACCATTGTCCTTTGTGTTGAGGAATTAACCTTTCTCAGAATTCAGATTCTTGGAGAGCTTTGAGCCCAAGGAAGAAGTGTAAGGAATAAATATTCCCTCTGCTTTTTCAACCTGCTTCGCCATTTCTCTGAGGCAAGCTCTACGCCAGTGAAACCTAGAACTAGGCTCTTCAGCGACCTCCCACGTCCTTCTAGAAAAGAAAGGACTTCCGTGAAGGGACTGGCTTTGAAGTCCTATTTCTGAGCCTGACACTAACAGTAAGCTGGATGTAAAAGCACAACCACCTGAAATTTTTGCCCCAAAGATGCCACTACCCTGCGCAGCGTGCCCTTCATGTGTCTGTCTCCCTGGATCAGAAAACACAGCTCTTGAGCATGGAAGCAGATGACAGGTTGATTCATTGCTTCCTTACAGCCGGCTTCCTCCTCGGACCCATACCTGACGGCCCCTAAAGGAAAGCCTTGGCCACGGACGGACAGACCTACTTCAGCAGCTCCCGCAGCAGGGCTCACACAGGCTTCCGGCTCCCGGGAGGCACGTGGGCTGCCCGTGCCAACACCACAGCCACCGGAGCGGCTCATGACGGGGTCTCTCGGGTGGAGCCTCCGAGAACAGGCAAACTGAACTCTCTGGATAAAAGTTGCCCAAAGCTCAGCAGACGTGCACACCACAGATATTTCAGCAGACTCTGGGGATGACCAGTCTGAGTGACAACGTGACCGAAGCAACATCTAATGTCTGATGGATGATTTAAAGACTTCTCTAAAAGGAAAGGGAAAGACACACGCACAGCCGCGCCTCCCAGCGCTGCCCCGGCCGCCTAATCCCGTGGGCATCAAGCACGCATGCGCCACGGCCGCCGGCCCCAGACCATCCTCCAGGAAGCGGCCCCGCCCACCGCTCGGTCCTCGCCACCGCGCTGCAGATTACCGTTCTCCTCGTCGTCGTCGTCGTCGTCGTCGTCGTCCTCGTCGTCCTCCTCGTCGTCGTCGTCCTCGTCGTCCTCACCGTCCTCGCCGTCCTCGTCCTCGTCCTCGATGTCCTCGTCCCGGCCCCCCTCGTCGTCGTCGTCGTCGTCGTCCCGCGGCTCGTCGTCCTCGTCTGAGCCGTCCTCCTCCTCGGCCTCGTCCTTCTCGTCCCCATCCTCCGTGCCGTCGCTGTCGTAACACTCATCCACCGACGAGCTGTCCGCTTTCACCGCAAACGGTTTTCGCTTGGGAGCAGGTTCTTGGGGCTGTTTGTCTTGTGTTTTTCTTTTTTTAGCCAAGGGGCAGCCATACACGCTGTTAGAAAAGAGAGAGAAGATCTGAGTTACTGTCTTTGAGGATCAGGGCGACGGGAGCCCCGGATGAAGAGGCAGAGGTTCGGCACGAACGCAGAAAGGATGTGAGCACACGGACTCCCACGAGTGCGCCGGCACCTGTGCACAGAGCGACATTCCACAGAGACACAGCTGGCTCGTGTCTGGGGCTGCTAACCTTTTCTCTCCTCTCCTCGTCCCTTATCACTACCATCCACGTGATCACACAGGGATCTTCACAGCACCCCCGGGGATGGTTTACGAAGCACGTGCACAGCAACATCATGTAATCGACAGCACAAGTTCACTAAACATCTTACCGAACGCACACGGTGTGCAACGCACATTTAAGAAAAAGAATTAGTTCATGCATACTATATTAACATATATACATTTTTGTGAAATACGAAAATGTAGAAGTTGCAAAAAAGCTTTGGATATATTTGGATTTGTACATTCTCCAGATAAAATTATATCTGTAGACAGAATGACGACTCAGAGGAGGTGGACCGTACATGCCTTTGATGGGAGCAAGGTTCAGTCTCCGTAGAAGGTGTCAGTCCTGCCCTGGCGTCACAGAAAGCAGACTTGGTGTATTTGGCAGTCAGCACTAATCTTGCTAAAACTGGCCCAAACTTGGGTGAGACCCTTACAGCAAGAGCTCATAACCTTTCCTTGAAAAGGGGCAATTTTCCAAAGCATTGTTGCTAATTGGAGTCTTTTTCTTCCTGGAAACTCTATATGTATATATACTGCAAGGAATGGGGAGAAAAGACATCCGGGAAAATGCTGTTGGCAATTGTTCTGTGTGTCTAAAATGAGATGTGTGATCTTCATCACTAAGTGAACACTTCGATAGGGGATTCCTGCAGACTATGACTGGCTCACTTTTGGACCTAGGAATGGTAAAATATTCGTTCAGTCATGAACCCACTCAGTGTGTGTTTATTTTGGGAGCCTCCTCTTTGCTGGGCCCTGTGCTGTGCAGGAGACTCAGAGGTGAAAGGCACAGATCCACCCTTCAAGTCACTTATGGCCCAATGGGGACTCAGACATGGCAGTAATTCTGCTTTAGAACCTCTGGCCACTGTTTACCACCGTGCCCCAAATGCCCGGGGAGCCATGGGTACTCATCCAATAGTTGTTGGGTGAATAGAGAGTGTGACAGACACTATGATAAAAGTATAGAGAGGGCACTACATCATAAAATAGAGGGGCAGCCAACGAAGGGAGCTGGGGCGTCCCCAGGAAGAGGCTACGCTGGAGACAGGCCTCAAAGGAGATGCTCAGATGTCTGGGAGTGGGTGTGAGGATGGTGCAAAGCCCTGAGAGCCCTTCGGGGTCAGACCATCCTTGCAGGCCAATGACGGGAGTTATTTGAGTTCCTTCACGCAATCGCTGATGCGATCACAGTTGCATGTTGGGAAGCTGAGAGCAGGTGCAGTGAGGACAGATTGAGAGTGTGAGAGACGAGATAGGGTGGGGGGGGGGGGGAGCAGGCAGAGCTCCAACCCGTGAAACAGAGTGATCAGTCTTCTGCCTGTTGACTGTTCTCCTATTGTAAAAATACAGTAGTCAAAACAGATAATGCTTATTATAATCAGAAAAACTAAAGGAAACAAATTTTGGTCTAGAGAGTGTTTCTCATAGGAAATAAACAGGTACCTGAGATTTCTTTTATGTGAACATTTACATGGATTTGGGGAGAATCTGAGTCAATGATCTCAGCCAAACATTCCGTAGCACCCTCCCTGCCTCCATCCCTGACGATTGGTCAAGCCCAACTTCCATTCCAGAGAATCTTCTCAGGACGTGGTCCTGGATCTGAGTGGACTTGTTAGTGTGTCCAGTCTGTGTTTATCTGAATAAATTAGTAAGTGTAACAATAAGTATTCCTTTTCCTCGGGCTCTGCCTGTGAACTGGCAGCTCATGAGGACGATTGTTACCTTCCCAAAACTCTTCTCTCTTGTCTTAGTTCATCAACAAATTGTTGGATGTGTCTGCTCTGTGTCAATGCTACCTGCACACCAGGTGTTCACGGAGACAGACAACTGGCCTGCTTTCACTGTCAGATTCATTCAGATGCTGGGAAATGATGGGAAAGCAGTTGACCTTGTGCTATTCAGTCATGTTACTCAAAACGGCCCCACCTCCACTTGGCAATGGGAACGTCTGTAGATGGCGTAAACCCAGCACCACGGTGGGCTTCTTGTTGATTCTGTCCCCTCTCAGCAGCCCCAAATCGCAAGATGCTAATGGGAGCTCAGACCTTACACGGTAGGGTTGCAAAATTCAGAGTAGGAGAATGGAGACTGCCCTCCTATTGTTACCTGAATTGGTTCTACTTCCTTATCCTACATTTTGTAAACCATTTGGATTCATTTTTTCCAACTTTCTGGAATTAGCTGGCCTCAAGCTTCCAGTGTCTTCTGCCAGTTCACATGGTTTGATGCTCAAGCTTTTTTCTACAGCTACTAATATAAACTGGAAATAAAATTGTGCTCTTCCTACAAACAGATTCATTTTGTCCCGTCTCTATTTGACCCACTCACACTGACTGTGAGTTCCTGGTATCTACCTTAAACACAACAACCAAATTCAAGCCCACAGGACAGACTTCATTTTACGTGTGCCAAACAGCTCCCGGATGAAGAACCCACTCCCATAGACAGACGCTTCCTGGTCTGTGAAACCCAGTGGTTTGGAATGTTTCAAAGTGAAGCCTTGGGAAGTGACTCTGGGACACGTGTTGGGGAGTGTGGAGCCTCCCAAAGCCATATGTGAACCTCACATCTGCTGATGGGGTGGCCAGCGGGACAGAATTTGCATAGCTGAGGAAGAGCGGGTGTTGCTTTTCTCCCACCTGGCAGGTGACGCTGGTCCAAGTGCTGGAAAAGCCAGACTGCTTTCCAGCTGCAGCCTCCTTCAGATGCACCCAGGCTCACGTCTATCAATGCACACGAGTCCTTCTAAAAAACCAACAACCCCCCACAGTTCTGGAATGTCCCTAGCATGACAGAACAAATGGCAGAGTCTTAGGAAAAATTGGGAATCTGGTGCCAACATGAAACCCCAGGTAGAGAACTTGGCAGGCGCCATGGCTGGCCCTTCACCTGTGCGGGAGGGTCCAAGCTTCACGTAGGGCTTGGAATTCATGGTCGGTGTTGCTCTCCTCCATTCTGCTTCTCAGCACTGTCGTCAGGCCTCCACCGTGGGGATAGCTGCCTATTGCCCATAGCAGCGAATGGAACCCTGCGTTTGATGGCTACTCCATGAATATTGTTGAATGAACAAACCATAGGTTTCTCCACTTGTTAGTAATGAAAGCACTTATCACATCCTAGTGTGATTATCGGTTGACATACTCTCTTTCTCCTTCATGAGACAGAGAAAATGGCCCGTGTCTAAGGGATCGTTCTATCTTTAGAGCTGTAGTATCCAATACAGTAGCCACTAGTCATGTGTAGCCAATTAATAAAATTAAAGGAGATTTTTAAATGAATTCCTCAGATGCACTAGTCACGTTTCAAGAGTCCAATAGCCACACGTGGCTAGTGGCTACCATACTGGACATAGTAGGTTCTCAGTAAATATCTACTGAGTGAGAAACCGATGGGAAGGCTTCTCACTGGACACTGCGGGAAGCTGAGTAGGGGACAGGGAGGGAGGGGCCGAGCTTTGGGAGGCAGCTCACAAAACTGTGACCGCAAGAAAGCCCAGCCCCTCAAGGGAATACATGCTGCATACTTACAGCAGACTGAGACCCAGCCACCTCTGAAGGACAAGGGTGCTGCTGGGGTGAATGTCTCTGCTGATCCCCGTAGCTGAGCCGCTTCCGGCGTGAGTAGCTGTTGGACCTGCCGGGTCTGCCCGCCTCCGAGCTGAGAGGTGAGCCCGGAGACCAGGTCGGCGTACTGACAACTACTTCACACACCCTCTCCTGTATCCTTATCACTCTATATAATACGCAACGTTCGAAGATGACAGTAAATGCATTTATATGTTTCTCACACAGCGGAAACTTCAAAGTGTCAGTATGATGACTCATAAGATCACGGCAGCTCATGCTTTAACCTCCTTGAGTTACTTAAAGTTGCGAATCGGCCTCCAGGCTTTGCTATTCTGCAGCTACTCTACTTGTTTGGGTGTCTTGGTAGGTCATTTAGTTGCTGTAGCTTTTACAGTCCTTTTGATGTTAACTTGATTTAAACAACGTTTAGTCTTTTGTGTCAGGTTAGTCTAGAAAATTGGTTACCTGCCACGGAGTTTCTGCAGCAAATGCGTATATAAAATATTGTGTATTACATGCTCTCGAGGCCAATTTTCATGTTATTTTTAATGGTCTTTTGCTTGACATTTTCATGTCTCCGATTTTAACACAAACAGGGGACAGGGTCTCAGAAACTGAAAAGCACGTTTGCCCGAGTGTGCCCTGCTCCCTCTCGTTACAGCTGCTGACAGGAGACAAGGATGTAGGATGAGATGATCTTGGCGCTGGCCTCTCCCCGCTGAGGACGATGCTCGTGGAGCCTAGAAAGGCCACGGTCACTTCCGAGGCTCACGAGGGGTTCTTTGTGGCCTCTGCTCTTACGGGTGATGTTTTACGGGTTACGTTTTTCTTGTGTTCTTGAAGAGCCTCAATGTGTCAAGGATAAATAATTATTTTGGAATAATAGAAATTCTATTTGAACATGCTCCTGGAGTCCTGGCTTCTACTGGCAGCTCGGCTAATGCCAACACCACTCACAGATCACTTATTATGTGCCTGGTGTTTCCTAAAATCTTTACATATACGGATCCATTAAACTCTACAATGACCCTGTGAGACAGGTGCTATTATAATTCCCATTTTGAGGGGCAGATCCTGAGCTCCTTGCTGAAAATCTCAAGGCTGAGTAACACTAGACAGGTGTTGACACCCACCCCGCGACCCCTGCCTTCACTTCTGATCTCTAAAGAGGGAGAGACGCTGTGCTCCTTCC